CCGTTGCTAATTGATTCAAAAAATAGTGAAACCACAATACGTCAGAGAGAGCGGTCTGACTACAGAAAACTACTCTCTCTGAAGTATTGAGCTAAGATGTGTATGGAAAGTCACTGTGAAAGCAATAAAGTCATAAACCGTTTCAATATTGAAAGCCACATCACAACAGGTGTGAGAATGAAGCAAAACAGCAAATCAGTTTTGTAGAAGTCAAATCAAGAATTCAGATTGAAATAAAAGTTCGAACGGCTGACCTCCATGATCTCAACGGCAGCGTCATTATCAAGATGTGCTCTAGCTGCCAAATCAGATAATGGGATGGAGGAAAAAGACTGGAATAAGTATGTGTGGAAGTATACCAATCTAAGCGTTAGAACTTACCTTAGCAACGGACATTACAGCTTTTTCACGAAGTTCTTTGATAATCCGATTGATTAGTCCAACGGATCCATCCTAAAATCAGTATTAGCCATAGAACATACATTTTCAACTGTACATTCACATACGTCATTAAAAATTTTTCTATGCTCATTTAGCACTTTCTCGACCGCGCCCGCCTTGTCACCTTTCGATTGTACAGCTGTAGCAAGCGCAATATATGGGTCTCCAACCAATTTCCACGCACGAGTCAATGCCGACGAGCGACCCACGGGCATTATCACTTTACCAGAGTACAACAAGCTTGCTAGGTAATATCTGAATGAATTTCATAAGGGAAACAGTAGGAGTACAACAGCGCATATAACCACTTTTTCAGTGCATCTAATTGGGCAACACTTGTAGCAGAACCAGGAACAAGAACTGCACTCTCAAGAAAAGAGATGGCACGACGAAGTTCATTCTGAAAGATCACATTTATGAAGAAACATTAATATTAACGAGTATTACAGGAAGAAGCTCACACGTCTCATTAGTAGCAACGCTCCATAATAGAGGTATAGGATCATATATTTTGATTCAAAATAGACGGGTGTTTGGGAAGCTACTCCGCGTTGCTTCCTCACATGACCTACGGGCTCGGAGGTTTCGGTCGTCGCTGGGTTCTAGAAGGTGTATATATGAATATAAAATTGAAAATAAACAGGAAATAGATAGGCAAATTCAAATATAAAAAATAAATATATAGATAAATAAATCAAATATGCTTATAAGTAGATAGATAGGTGGATAAATAAACAGCTAAACAAATAGATAATTAAATATTTTTTCCCGCTTCGTTCAAATTTACTTTATGACGACGGGCCAAAAATGAGTTCCTATACTACGGGAGCCTTTGTTCTTGACAAACAAATACATTCGTGTAAACTATAGGACTATAGCGAGATTAGAAGTGCTTCGAAATTCTTTGGTAAGAAATCCAGAGTATAGGAGGATCAGGATATCACTCGAAAGAAGAAAGTCCTTGAGTCAATCTTCAAAAAGTCATATTCGGTGTAAACGCCGAATTGAACAGCTCCAAGAGATGTTAAGGTATAGCCCTACTTTGCAATGCGTATTCTTTTCAGAGGAAGAGATAGGTTAATAGTTGTGGTATTTTGTCGTACATTCACGAATTATTTGAAGTGTTTGGAAGAGCTTGCATAGAAAGGGTAGATAGGGCAAAACAGGACGCTAAAAGAATGGCTTCGAGATGAATTGGATTTAGAACAGAATGCTGAAATGGGATAATCCTACAGAAGAATGGAACGAAAGCTGTAGTAAACAGAAAGTGTTACAGAACATATAATAACAACTTGCCTCATTAAGAAGTGCAGTTACATTCCTATAGATATACGGTAGCGCAGCTTCCACATTGTTTACTCGTAGACAAACGGCAAAAAGAGCAGAGTGAAGAGATGAAACTACGCATTCATTTGGATCTACCAACAGTCGCATGGCTGCAAGCGCTAGGTCCAAACCAATTTGCGGCTGAAATAACCAACATTAGAGGTAAAAGCCCAAGAACTTGGAAAAGCAAAACCTCATTCTTTTTCCTGAAGCAGTAGGTGACAGCATTTCGCGCAAATGGGAATACTAAACGCGCAGGTTAGTGAAGGATCACAGCCATAAAGCCAAAGAATAAAGACTGACCAATATCGGGAATGAGCTTTAAATGTTCTGCCACCATGTTGCCACTATCAATAAGATGCTTTAAAAATTCTACAGCTCGATCAGCACCCTGTTCATTGTTCTTCTGGATAGAGCTATCGTAAAGAGCTTTTAAGGCAGCCATCATAGCGGCCTGAAAGCGATGCGTTAAAGTGTCAAATAGAATAAAAAGAGTGCGCAAAACACACCGTCCTCAGAATAAAACAAGTAAACTTGCGCCAGACTTAAAACTCACGGATCCAACTTTTGGGTTGCAGTTCGATAGGAAATGTTCAATTTCTCCCGGTTTTTTCTCAAAAACATCCTTATATTTTCTCGCAAGTTCTGCGACCTTTTCAGGAGCGCTCTCTGAATGATGGAAAGTAAAAGGGGCCATATTTAACTTCGAAACTAGAGAAAAACCATTTAAAAAAA